CACATCGGGCTCCCTGCTCCACAGGAAGCCTGCTTCTCCCTCTCCCACTCCCCCTGCTTGTGTTCCTGCTCTCGCTCTCTCTCTCTGTCAAATAAATAAATAAAATCTTAAAAAAAAAAAAGAAAAGAAACAATAGTAACTGAAGCTATTTATTATTCATTATTTCCATAAGCAAAAAGAAGACTAAATTTAACTGGAATTCATTTTCCTGACTGAGGATTCCCTCCACTCAGAAAAGTTCCACAGTCATTACTACACCCTAATCTGAAACATGTTTTTCCAAAACAACGTATTTTTTCAAGTTAGTGTCTCAGGCAAAAATGCATTGTTGCTGAGACCCAATTAAATATAGCTCCTTATTTGTGAACAGATGGATATGAAAGATTTCACAAAGAAATGTCAAATATTTTGTAGTCACAAAGTTTCTGCAACTGCAATTTTTTTTTTTTTTTTTTTTAGATCCGATCAAGATGTAAATGCATAGAGAGAGACACTACTGTATTTCTGAACAGGCTACAAAACAAAGTAGCAGACATGCAGGATTGCCAGATAAATTAAGTTTTGATTAAACAATGACTTATTCTTTAGTATAAGTATGTCTGCAGGAGTGCTGACAATAATGACTCCATGTTTGCCCCTCCATTTAGTTTGTGTTCACTCCATGACCCCTCTTGAGGTCCCTTGAAGATTAACATACATACCTTAGAAACGTCTGCCAAGCCGAGCATAGGGGTTGGGGGAAAGGCTTGTTTTGGCCTCCTGTGAATCTGTTAGATATACCACAGGTGGTGCCACAAGACCTAATTAAAGGTTAGCTGTCTATTAGGTGCATGTGAAGCTTCTGATCTCACTAGAGTACCCTTCTGCATGTCCCCTCACTCCATAAAATCTGGACTAAGGTCTGGACTTTGCAGAGGATAACTGTGCAGCTGCTGTGGATCATCCTCTGCCAGATCCACCCCCCATTCCTGCCTCACCCCCACCGTCAATAAGGTTCCCTGAATAAAACTCTGTAAATTGCATGGAGTCACTTGCTTCATTTTCCAGTTTCAAAATTGCCTTCTTAGTTTGGGGGATATTTTACTGTTCCTCTCCTACCTTCTAACAATGCCCCATACAATATTTGGGACATACTTATCCTAAATATTGCATGAGACATAACTAAAAAAAGCATTCCTTGGCACAAGATAAAGCTCAAAAGAATTCAGGGTCTTGCCGCAAGAGGCCAGGAGTACTCTATGCTAATAAGTCTGGCCCCCAGCCTATAGGCAGGAGAAACAACAATTTAAGCTACAATGTGGAGGACAGACTAGAAAGGTGACCAGTTTCAGGCAGGAGGGTAAGTTGAAAAGCCACTGGTTTAATAGTCTAGGTAATGGATGAAGAAGGTAAACCACTGGCAGGGACACCAGAAATTCTGTAGGTAGAGGTCATAGTTGGTAGGACTATATGGATGACAAAAAAGTGAAGGGGGGGGCAGGTGTTGTTTGGTGGGGAAGTAAGGTTGGCAGAGGACAAACAGTTGAACTAGAAGAATAGATCAGGAGTTTGTATTAACTTATAGGGTTCGAAGCACCTGGGCATCCCAGTGAGAATGTCTGGTCTGGAAATTGCTTCAGGACAGTAATCAGGACTAGACACAAGGACACAGGAAGCACCCCCACGCAGGTAATGAGAGAAGTCAGCAAGTGCTTTCTGAACGAGTCTGAATTTTTAGCTGTGTTTTACCACAGGTGAGCAAACTCATGGGGTTAAAATCTTCAGAAATTCAACATCCAAAAAACAAATAATCCAATTAAAAACTTGGCAGAAGACATGAATAGACATTTCTCCAAGGAAGACATGAAAAGATGCTCATCACTTACCATCAGGGAAATACGAACTAAAACTACAACGAGATATCATCTCACACCTGTCAGAATGGCTAAAATCAACAACACAAGAAACACAGGTGCTGGCAAGGATGTGGAGAAAGGGGAATGCTCGCGCACTCTTGGTGGGAACGAAAACTGGCACAGCCAGTCTGGAAAACAGTGTGGAGGTTCCTCAAAAAGTTAAAAATAGAACTACCCTATGATCCAGCAATCACACTACTGGGTATTTACCCAAAGGATACAAAAACACTAATTCAGGGGATACATGCACCCTCAACCCTATGTTTATAGCAGCATTATTTACAATAGCCAAATTATGGAAGCAGCCCAGCTGTCCATCAATAGATGAATGGATAAAGAAGAAGTGGTATGAGTATATGTATACATATATACATGTGTGTATATCATATATACATACATATATATACAATAGACTATTACTCAGCCATAAAAAAGAATGAAATCCTGCCTTATGCAGTGACATGGATGGAGCTAGAGAGTATTATGCTTGGTGAAATAAGTCAGTCAGAGAAAGACAAATACCATATGATTTCAATCTTATGGGGAATTTAAGAAAAAAAACAAATGAGCAAAGGGGGGAAAAGAGAGAGAGAGAGAAACCAAGAAACAGACTCTGAACTATAGAGAACAAACTGATGGTTACTAGAGGGTAGGGGGGTGGAGGTTGGGTTAAATAGGTGATGGGAATTAAAGAGTGCACTTGTCATGCAATGAGTGCCGGTGATATATGGAATTGTTGAATCATTATATTGCACAGGTGAAATCAATAACACAGTATCTTAACTAATTGGAATTAAAATAAACATTTTAAAAATTTTTTTCAAAAATAAATAATAGAGGCGCCTGGGTGGCTCAGTCAGTTAAGCATCTTGAGTTCTGCTCAGGTCATGATCTCAGGGTCCTGGGATCAAGCCCAGTGGCAGGCACCCCAGTCGGCTTGTCTCCCTCTGCCCCTCCCCCTGCTAGCACGTGTGCACTCTCTCTCTCTCAAATAAATAAGTAAATCTTTAAAAAATAAATACATAGGTAAAAAATAAATAATAAATTCTTCAGACACTGACAAAATGGGAGATCCCACACAAAGTGAATGTTTCAGAACTTTTTAGTGAGAAACAAAAGCTCTACCCATATTAAGTAGTACTGTAACAAATAGGTAATACTGGTTTAAATCTGTAAAAGCTATATTCATGGAGGTATGACACCACCTCACTTATTAGGCTGTTTTATTTATATAGAATTAAAGCTCTACAATATTCAGCTTTTTTCTTCCTTCCCTTCTCTCTTCTACTCAATCAACAAAACTAATTCCTGACATCTCCCTCTCCCCCCAACTATAATACATGCAAGTCGGTACCCCTTTCATCTCCACCAGCGCATCTTTTACCTTCAGTCTCTTCTCCCCCCACCCCAACCTTCCTCATACCCATTTCAAGGAGAATGCTAATGCCAGTAGGGCCTAAACTCCCATTCTATCATCCCCCCCACCCCAATCCCTCCCTCGTTTAGTCCCAGAGGCTCTCAGGCTCATCAAAGGGTGAGTATGTGGCACTGACTAGTCATTTCATCCAAAATAAAAGTAGCCAACAACCCACTGCTCCATGTACTAAGACCTGCCTTATGTTCTGTGGGTGACTTAGTCATTTAGTTCTCAGTAAGAGGTGAATATTTTTAGGCAAAGAACCTCTATGTTACATGACCCAATGGAATTTACCAAGGGGAATTTGCTCTGGTTAAATATTTGCTGCTCCAAGCTCCATCCCAGTTTTAGAAAAAGAAAACATAAATCACACACAGACTCTACACTGTGGGGTGAAGGCGATGGACCTGCTCAGGGTGTTGCCTCTTTTAAGTCTGGCTCTGGGCATCCAAGGACACTACTTCTATGTTGGTTCCGTAGGGACCTGTGGGCAAGAGGTTTCCTTTCAACCCTCAAGGCAGCCAAACTCAAAGCCATCAAATTATCAGTAAGAATAAACAAGGACTCAGTGGACTTCTCACCCTAACTCCACTACTAACCTGAGCAAATTCCACACTCTCTCTGAGCCTCAATTTCCCTACTTGTACAACAAAATACTATTGCCACCACCTTATGAAGTTGTCCCGGGAATTAAATTAGTCAATCCCTGAAAAGTGCTTGTCATGGCTCCTAATCCATAATGCCCATTAAGTAAACTTCCTGGGGTGCCTGGCTGGCTCAGTCTGGAGAGCATGCGACTCTCAGTCTTAGAGTTCAAGCCCCACACTGGGCATGGAACTTAACAACAAAATAAAAACAAAAACAAAAACCACACACACAGTAAATTTCCTTAAATTCTAAGGTGCTATCTATTTTATAAAAAGAACTTTTGGGAGAGGGAATCAGCACATTACACGAATGACTGACAGGTTCCTATGTTCTGATTTACACGTGGGGGGAATAAGCATCTTAGAATTTAGCAGATGTTCTATTTACTTTACCAAGGATTCATATTGTAATAGTCACCACTCAAAAGAAAATATATCTGAACTCCCAAATCAGGGAAGATATTTTCAAAATCAACACAAGTATTAAGCGCAAAGAGATGAAAGCTAGAAGAAAATCCACATAATTTCCCTACACGG